AATGCCAATGCTTTCCTTAACGTCATGCTGCCCTTAGTGTCAGGATAAGGAGTTTGGGCTTCGTCCTGAAGGCATAGGAGATCAGCAGACTTAGAAGAGGGAGATACAGGGGCAGATAGATCTGTTGTTTAGGAATGAACTATTGTGACCAACCACACAGAGGAAGGTGGCACTGAGGAGCTTAAGTGTTGTACTTCTTGCAGGTGTCTCCCCTTTTAGCATTTGTCATAGCCACCTTCCCCTTCTCCCCAAATCACTTCCTTCCTTCCCCAAGTCTATATTCAATGTAGTGGCCAGAAGGAGACTTTTCAAAACCAAGTCTGAGTATGTCACTGGTCTAATCAGAATGGGCCAATGGCCTTCCTGCCTGACTCAGAATGAAACCCAAAGTGCTCACATTATTCCACAAGGCACTACAGGATTTGGCTGGTCCTCTGTTAACTTTCTGTCCCGACTCCTACCATTCTCCTAGTTCACTCCATTTGCAATGACCTCCTCACTATTTAATGAACATGCCAAGCACCTTCCTGCCTCAGGGCCTTTGCACTTACTAGACTCTATGCCTGGGGGAGTCTTCTCCCAAATATGCATATTATCCCCCAGATATCCAGATCATACACTCCCTCGCTTCTTTGGGGCCTCTGCTCAAATATCACCTTATCAGAAAGACTTGTCCATACCAGCCTTAGCATTCTCTACCTACTTAACTGCTTTATATTTCCTGCTAGACATTTCCTTACCATTATCTGACATACAATACAGTTATTTGTGCATGGCTCATCGTCTATCTGTAAACCTAATGAAGACAGGGACTTCAGTTTTGTTTATTTCTGTGTCCCCAGAACCTAGAATTGTGATGTGTCCATGGTAAGCACTTAGCTAATAGGTTATGTGCATTCACCCATTCAAGGAGCAAAATATAGAGAAGAGCTCTTTATATTTTCTCCAACCCATCCCAGAACCCCCATTTAAGCTTAGTGAAACCCAAAGGCTCTTCCATTGCAGCCCATCGGTTATTCCTTCCATGACTCTAGCTCATCCTTGCATGTGACATATTTACTCTCTTGACCTTCTGGCGGCTACTCCTTCCAGGGTGGCGTGGTGGTATTTTCTGCTTCTGGAGTCCTGCCAGTACTTTCACTGTTGATGGGGAATTTATCACATTTCAGTTTCTTTTCTCAATAGAAACTTCCAACAATTCCCCACTGTTTTATTCCCTCAGGAAGAAGCTATCTTGTTTTTCAGTATAAAGTTTAGGACAAGGAAAACAGCAAATGGAACTGTGGCCAATTGTCTGCTTGTCCCATTGTCTTCACACGTGCACAAGGAATGGGGGGTGGGGGAAGGAATGTGCAAGAAACAAAACTGAAATCAAAAGGCGTCAACAATCATCAGTGCGGAGGGTCATCGCAGATCACCTTGCCTGATGATGTCATTCCACAGAGAGGCCAAGGTGCCTGCCAAAGGGACACCCCTGTTACAGCAGGGGCTAGAGGTCCTGTCCCTTGTCCTGTCGTTTGTCCCCACACTGGGGGGATACCCAAAATGATGCTCTTCCCAACAGGATCCTTCTGACCAATCAGTTACCAGATAGATGAGAAAAACTTAAAGTAAGCTCTCTATCTGGGTTATATTTCAAATGAATCCTGTAATATCAACATATTCTGCTTCCTGGTGTCATTGATCAGCCCCCAGGAAAAGGCCTTCCCTCGTGTCCTTTTATACATACACAAAATAGAATACGAGGCAGGAGGTGGTAGATGAAATGAACAGCTGGCACTTACTGAGTGCTGCTACGCATCTTGGGTTGTTCTTAGTGATTTTTTTTTACATTAACTTAATCAATCCTCAGCAAAAGACCTTGGAGCTAGGTTTCATTAAGGTTTGCATTTTAAAGATGAGGAAACAGATACAAGGAGGAAGTTGCCCAGGATGACACAGCTTGAAAGTGGCAGAGCCAGGATTGCACCCAGCCAGTTTTGATTCTGGAGTCTATGCTCTTAACCACTATTCTTACTGTTTCTCTAGCTACTTAGCAGGGGGAAGAAACATAGCTTTCTGTTTTGATTTGTGAATAAATTTTATTTTTAACTTACTTCTAGTTATGGATTCTACATTCAAATGGCACTGGTTCTCCCAAGAAGTTTGGTGGCTGGAGGTCAACTGGATGCTATGAATTGCATTTATTACCCACAGGCTGGAAGCATGCCTATCTTGTCCCTATGCATCCTCAGCCCCAGATGTCTGGTACATAGTGGGAAAATAAGAATGAGTACACTTATTTCTTACTGTTTTATGACTATTGTATACTGCTTTTATTTGATCCTGGTTACATGTAACCCAGGAAAAACTAAAGGGAAAAGCTCTGGCTCCAAATATTCTGCAAGTAGACAAAGAATGTAAGTGGCATTTTTGGTTCCCACTATGATGATGGTTGTTATAATCTTCCATTTTGCTTTTTATATCTAAATACACACTTGGTATAACCTGTAAGTGTTAGAGCAGTACTAGCTGCTGTAACAAATAAACCCTTTAACTTCAGGGGCTTAACATAATAGAAGTTAATGTCTTACTCGTGTACCAGTCCAATGTCCTGGTCAGCGGGTAGCTTTATTCCTCAAGTGATGCAGAGGCACAGACTTCGTTTATCTAGTGGCTCCACCACTCTCTGGGGCTTTGGAGTTCCTCTGCTTCCAGCTAGGCAAAGTGGGGAAGGCACATCCATTTCTTTAAACACGCTAGTCTGGAAGTAATGAACATCCCTTTGGCTCATATTCCATTAGAGAGAACTAGTCACACGGTCAAACTTGGTTGCAAGGGAGGCTGGGAAATACATCATCAACTGAGCAGCTGTTAGCTCTCCTGTGAAGAATGAGTATTTGGTGGGCAGCTAGCAATCTTCTGCCACAGTGAAGTAAATAAGCACCTTTTAGGTTGCTCTTTAATGTGAGATGTCTACCAGACAATACACTTAATAGCTTAGAAATGTCACAATCTCTGGTGCTTTCCAAAACCTCATCTAGAAAAATGGAAAACTAATGTCAACCAAAGCAGGCATTCATTGCTGTGAGCTGAATGGCAGGCACCTTGGGATAGGGATTAGAGCAGAGTATTAGAGCTAGAGACTTGGGTTCAAATCCTGACTCAGTTACTAACAGCCTGATCACAGAAAACTTAACTTCTCTGAGATTCAGTGTTCTTTACAGCCAAATGGGGATCATATGCCCACTCTGCTGTTTTATGATGATTAAATATGTATAAATATCCTGGAAGACAGTAAACAATAATTGGTATTACTGTTTTCTGAACAAAGATTTCTCCAGAAAGCAAGCGTTCTTTCTTTCAAATTGTTTGAAAATAGGAAGTGTAATAAAGAACAAGTAATGAGCCTTACATAAATAAAAGTCATAGGACACTGTGGATGCCATGCATCTAACTGTGGATGTTACAGCCTCTGTCCTGTATCCAGAATGAAGACAGAAAGCTGAGTCTAATCAAGCAATGTGATTAAATTACTTATAATTGCCTGAATGCTAGTAGGAGCCATGGAAGATGAAAAACAAATATAATAAAAAGATTGATAACTATGATTTATTCAGAGTACACGTCATATCCTTTAATCCTCATACCAGCTCTCTCACGTTATTGTTACCACCACCAATACCACCCATATTACTACCATTGCCATTTTTCAGATGAGAGAACCAAGGCATAGAGAAGGAAAAGAATTATCCAAGACAGTCAATTACTAATGGTGGAACAGCAATTTGAACCCAGGGAGTTTGATTCCACAACTCAAGCTCTTTATCAAGAAGCCTGGGATCCTGTTGGAGGAAATGCTTTATCTGTGTGAAAGCATGCAAGCGCCATGCAGGATAACATTGTGCCATTGTGCTGAAGTGTGGTTTAAATTATAAATGCTACAGGTATTCAGTTGGGAGGGGAACTCCCAGTGCTTGGGAATGACTGTGTGCCAGGCATTGTACTGGGTGTTTCAATCCTTCCCATTTAAGGAGAGGTAGCCCTGCATATGTGGAAGAGGAATACAAGCTTTGGAACTGGACAGATAGGGTTTAAATTCTGGTGCTATTTACAACCTGTGTAATCTCAGGCATATTACTTAACCTTTCTGAAATCGTTTCCTCAATTGAAAAACAGGGATTATAATAACTACCATATAGAAGAGGGTTTACTGTCATGAAATAATATCAGCATATGGTAGGTGTTACTCATTCAACAAATAAGAGTAAGTCCCAGGCACTTGGGAGCAACACTATCAGCCAGAATAAGCTAGGTTATGCTGCTATAACAAATGGTACCTGCAAATCTCACTGGCTTAACACAAGTTTACTATTTGCTCACACTATTTTTCCAGTGCAGGTTTGCTGGGACTGCTCTGTCATTTTTACAGAGACCCAGGTTGGTTGGGGTGGGGATCTATCGTTGTTCTTCCACAGCTGTCAAGATCAGATCACCAGGATTCAACTTTCAGGATTGTTCAGACATGGGAATTTGCCCAGTGACCCTTAACATTTCTACCTGACAGCAATACATATCACCTCTGCTCTCATTCCATTGGCCTAAGCAAGTCATTTGGCCACCATCTCATTTCAAGAGGTTGGGGTAGTGGATTCTTATCACATGCCTGGGGAGGGAAAGAACCAGAAAATATTTGAGCAACAGTTTTAATTACTACTATAGACAATTTGTTTCCCTGTAAAACAGACCCATATTTTAATAAGAAACAAGCTCTGAGAGGTTAAGTCATTTGACTGAGGTCACACAGCCTGTATTCTAGGGAGACAGGCTCAACTGGCAGGTTACTCACTCTGACTCTTTAATCTACATGACAATGTCTACAAACTTTATGTAAGCACAGAATACAGTTCCAGGATGGGAGCAAGAAGGCCCTGTTAAGTGTGGACAGAATAGGAACTGAATAGACAGGGCCTTTGTGTTTGTGTTATGCAATAAGCCGGAGAGCTCTTGGGGCAGGCAGGAAGGGGCAGCGGGGTTTGTGTCAAACATCAATCAGTATAAGAGAAGTTTGGGCGGATAGGGATACCAAGTACCAGAGTGTGGTAGAGGCACGAGTGAAAGGTAAGATGCCTGCAGTGTTTTGGGCCATTCCAACAGCAGGGAGGGGTCCTGGGAAGAACAGGGTGCTGCTGGAGTCCAGGGCAAGGTGATACGGGTGTTCAGGAGTGAAGACAGCAGGCATGCAGAAGGGATGAAGCTGAGATTGCAGAGGGTTGAGCAGGGCTCACTGATGAACATGTTAAGTATCACCAGGCGATTGGTACAAGGCTCCAGACATTCTTCATACCTCACTCTTCCTATATTGCACCATTTATAAAAATAATCCCCCAAGGCCTCTTTTTCTCTTGCCTTCTTCCTTACTTTTTCCTTGCTGCCTCTTAAGAGAAGCAGGCAGCCTTACCGCGGTGGGTTAGAGGCCCTTCCTGCCTGACCCTCAGCTTGTGCGGTACCAGTTGCTGTGACCATCTTCAGGATCTGGCCCTGGGAAAACTCCCAGGGCCCAAGGGGGCCAGGAGGCCTGCAAGCCGCCTCTTGCTCAGCAGTCCCGACCCTGCTCCACCCGAGGTCCCTGGTTTGCCCACCTCCAAAGGCAGCCTTCGCAGGCAGGGTGGGCGCCCAGCACCGTCCTGGCACCTCTAGCCCCCTCTCTTCCATGCCCCCAACTGTTCTCCCTGCGCAGGCTGCCGGCCGGGAGTTCTGGAAGGTGTCGGAGGGCCGGCAGTCCCGCGGCGGGCCCCGGGTTCAGTCTCCGCGCCTCCCTCCCCGACTCCGCCTTTCTGCGGGGAGGGCGCGGGGCCGGGGTCAAAGCGCCCCTCCAGGGACCCTCCGGGAAGCACAGCGGCTCCGGGCGGGCAGCCCTTCGCCAGCCCGAGGTGGGGGCGCCCGGGGCCGGGGGACAGCCGCGGCGGGGCGGGAAGGGGGCGCCCTGCGGCGGACGGGGCCCGTGACTCACCGCCTGTAACCCAACACCCGCCCTGCCTCCCCTCCCCCAGCTGCTCCTCCAGCTCCGGCCTGGCGCCCGCGGCGGCACCTAAGAGAAAATGAAGAGGCGCCCGGGCCCTTGGCGCCCCCGGCCGGATCGTGAGCGGGCCGCGGCGGCCTTGGGCTCCGAGCGCTCTCGCTCCTCCCGCCCCGGCGCTCGGCGAGCCGCCGCCGCCGCCCGCGCGCGAGCCGGAAGGAAGGCCGAGCGGCGGGAGCAGGCGGCGGCGGCGGGCCCGCGGTAGCTGCGGCGGCGCGCCCGGGGAGGGGGCGCCCGGGCTGGGAACCCCTCGGTCCCGTCCCGGCCGAGCGAGGACAAAGCCCCCCTGCCGCCGCTGCGGCCTCCACGGCGCGGCACAAAGGGCGAGCCGCGACAGGCCCCCATCCCCCTCCCGGCTCGGGTGGCCCCGGGGGGCGGCCGGGAGGTGGGGGAAGCCCCGGCCGCGCCGCCTCTCGCTCCCTCTCCCCCGCCCCATCGGCCGTCCTCCCGGGAGGGGTCGGGGGGCGCGGCGCCCCGCATAACACTCCCCCTCCTGCGCAGGGAGCCGCCCCTCTCCCCTCCCTCCTGCAAACACCACCGCCTCCGCTGCCACCGCCGCCACCTCTCCTGACGCTCCGCAGCTCGCCGCGGCCGGTGGGCGGTGCGCGGACCGTGCGCGCCGGGGGCGCCAGATGTGCGGTCCCCGCGGCCGCCAGTGACCGAGCCGCAGCCGAGCGCGGGCGGACCGCCTCGCCAATGCTGCGCGGTCCACTTTGAGCGCACCCCGGCTTCCCTCGGCGGGGACCCCGACACCCCGAGCGCGGTGCCCGGTTCTGCCCTCTCCAGCCCGGCTCGCCCCGCGTTTGGACATGGAGGGGGCCGCTGCACCCGCGGCCGGGGATGGCCCCGACTTGCGGCCGGGGGCGCCGGGCTCTCCTCCCGAGGCGGGGGCGGGGGCGACGGCAGCCCCCGCGGCGGCCCCGGAGCCCAGGAAGCCGCACGGGGTGAAGCGGCATCACCACAAACACAACTTGAAGCACCGCTACGAGCTGCAGGAGACCCTGGGCAAAGGCACCTACGGCAAAGTCAAGAGAGCCACCGAGAGATTTTCGGGCCGAGTGGTGAGTGGGGGAAACCCCCAGGGGCGCAGGTTTGACGCGTCTGGGGACGGGGGGCGCGCGGGGCGAGAATCTCTTGTCCGGGGGCTCTCTTGCCGGCCCGGAGGCTCTCTTGTCCGAGAGGGGGCTTCCGGGGAACCCCCCTGACAGGCTCCTCACTCTCTGCCAGGCTCCCCGTGACTCAGGCGTGTCTCTCTCCGAAACACTTGTTACATCCTGTCTGCGCATATTTTGGGGTTTTTTATACCAGCCCGCAGTAAAGTAGTATTTATGATTTGCAAACACTTTGCAGCGATAGGACCGCCGGGGTCTCCCTCGCGGGCATGCATTCAGACCATGTCCTGGAATGCCTTATTTGCTCTACCTCTGAACAGACCCTGGTGCTCCAAGTCCCGTGTCCTGTAGATGAATGCGAGCTCTGCCTCTGCATCCTCCCAACCAATACTCCGCATCCCCTTGATGCTGCGGGCGTTGCATGTTTTTAAGAGAGAAGGTTAGGAAGCAAAAGCGAAGGCTGCTGCATGCCGAGGGTGGTGACAGTTTTGCGTCTGGCTTCTGGGAGGACTGAAATGTCCAGGACGGGAGTAGCCTCACACATGCTGAGTTGCAGCCGGCTCAATTGCACTGCAGGTCCTGGCTATAGGGCTACTAAATTGCTTTAGGGGTCTGGCCCATCTACCCCACTCTTTGTGACAGCTGAAACCCTGCCAAGATTCCAACAGCATTTGCACAGCCCCAGGGAGAGCCTTGAATGCCTCGGAGTCTCTGCCGTTGTCCCAGACTTGGTTGGTTGTCATTTTCCTTTCCTCAGAACAGGCCCTTGAAATCCACACTGCTTGTGGCTAGAGGGCTGGGCTCAAAGTGACTGACTATTGCAAAAATATTTTGTGTGGTGTGTGGCAGAAAATTAACGTGGTTCTTTGGTTTGAAGCATATCAGATGTATTTTAATCGATTTAGGGCCAAAGTCAGGAACTAATTTTGGCACTCCTTGTGTGCACTTTGGGGAGTGTTTTGGCGCCCAGGGTTCCCTATGAACTTAACAAATGACCATAGGAAAAGCAAAATGAACTGTTGAATGGAGTGGTAGGTTGATGTTGGTATTTTTCTTTTGCATCTATCCAGGGACAATTCTGTTGAAAAAAATGGGGCACCAAATCAGAAAGTTGAGCCCCTAAATTCTCCAATATTTGGATGCCTGCCTAACTCCCTCGTTGCAAGCTTCGCTGTTTGGGTTGGTGCAGCTTTATCCTATAGCTTAAAAATAAAGTCTGTTACAGGTTAATTGGAAATTTGAGATGTTGTATTTTTAAGCTGTCTCCAATAAACAAATTCTATAACAAGCAAGAAGTTGAGAATTCAGTCTGGGCAGGTGCCCTTTCTTACAGGTTAAAAATTTTAAAGAGGAGATGATTGTAAAGATGTCCTTTGAGGTCCGTACTTTCAGGTTTGTGGAAGAAGAGTCAGAGAAACTGCACTTCATTCATGATTTTCTTCTAAGGCGATATTCCCTAGGCTGGATGTTGAATAAGCAAAAACTAAGCTTAGCTCCTTGCTCATGTTGTCTTAATAGCTGTTGAAGAATTGTGCAGGGAAGTTGAAGAGCGGAATAATGAAAAACAGACGCGGTCGGAGCTGCAGGTTGAAGATGTGAGCTTGTGAGGGGTTGAGTGGTAAGGGTGTGTCTGGGATCTTTGAGGGGAGGTGGAAGTCTGAACGTTGGCACAGGCTGTGCGAAAGAATGAAAACTTTCCTTATGTCAGACACCTTTCTGAGCCTCACTGGGGCTTCCTGTTAGACGTTTGTTTTGCTGTCTCATCCGCAGACTAGGTTAGAGGGAAAGGGATTGCAGCAGTAGACAGGAGCCTGCCTTTCTCTTTGGGTGGGTGTCTTGTCTTTTATTTGCAGAAACTGAACATTCTGTTGGAATTCCGTCAAATGGCCACTAGGGGGCGCCCTGAGCACGGAAGAAGCTCGTTTCTCAGCCGCCAGACTTCAGTCCTGTTGTGTTATTGTCCAGCCCTCCTTCAGTTTCCCATTGTGCTATTAATTTCAGCTAGACCTTGTATTTTACTTAAAAAATTATATAAAGATTTTGAATATGGTAGCAGATTCAAGGCTCAGAAGCTGGCAATCTCTAAGCTGCTTTCTACTTGATAGATAAGCTTCGAATGTTAGCGTCACCACCTAGTGAAAACCTTGCTTTGAACAGATGGGAAAACTGAGGTAAGGTGATGGGAAGGTGTCCTTGGCCTAGAGTCCTCCCCCTGCTGAGCACATTGCTCACAGATGGTATAAGAACTAAAGTGAGAAACAGGAATTGTCAGGTGGAAAATTCCTTTGCCTGGCTGAACAGAAAGTAAAACAAACACACAAAAAAATTGGTCAGCAAGTTGTTCTTGCCTGTATAGTGCTTGGTGACTCAGAATCTGTCAAGAACAGTAAGAAATGTTCACCTCAAGTATGAACTTGGAGTTTTCTTCTGGTTCTAAGGATGCACCATGTATCTACAACTTGTTTTTGAGGAGAACTGAGAGAACACTGTCTCACTTCTGTCTTTGCGGCCCTCTGGTAGAATTCTGAAGTGATGTTTTACTTCTGTTTGCACCCATGCCTCGGATAGCACCTAATATAGAGGAGCAGTGGCTTTAAGCTGCTTTGCCAATGCAAGTGGCTGAAGTCCGGTCCTCGGAATGCTGTGGAGTCAGCACTCCTGTTGAAAGCAGCTCAGAGACAGAAAAGTGTTTAAAAATGAGAATGTTGTGGCTTTTAATCGCACATCTGGAAGGGCCTGTGGAATTAAACGGAACACCACACACCATCATCTATGTTCTGTGAAAGGCAGCTCAAATGAGAGTTGCAGAATCAGAAACTTGATGGCAGCTGGTCCAGCCCCCTGTGTGGTCCAGGCATCCTCCCTTCTTCATTCCCAGGGTGGCCTTGCAGTCCCTGCCTGCTCATGTCCATGAGAGGAGGACTCAGAATGGCTTGTTCCAGAAATTAACAAGCCCAGCAGAGAGGCACTCCTGCAGATGGGCTAAGATTCAAATTCTAACCCATCCTTCTCAAGCTTTGTGACCTCGCACAGGCTATATGCCTTTTTGAAACCTCAGCTTCCTCATCTGTAAAATGGGCTACTAATAATACCAACTTCATGGATGTGTTAGGAGAATTGAATAAAATCATCTATAATCTATATATAATTTCCTCAAAGGGGAAATTAGCCAGTTTAGTTTCCTCTTTTAGGAGATTTTGCTTCTCATCCCACTTGGACTTTCATTTAGATTTTCAGACCATCAGAGACAAGATGCATTGAATGATTAGCCTCTATTACTCAGAGAGAGATAGGGGAAATAATCAACTTCTCAGGTTAATTAGGGAATGCTAGGTTAATTAGAGAAGCGGGCCCATAAGAAGCCAAGACAGCCAGATTCTGATAGGATCTGAATGTATTTGTAAAGCCTTGAATTTGGGCTTTGTTTATTGTACAACTTCTGGTTTGATACAGCTTTGAGCAGTCCAACGAGCGGCACCCGTGTGGTAACAGGGCATGCATTTTCTTTGAGCCAAACTCCCTGGACCTTCAGGCTGTACAAAATATTGCCAAAATACCAAAACCAAAACCAAACAACATTTTGGGGAGAGACGTCATGTGATCACCTCACTGTCAAGGGCCAAGTTCAGCTTTCCGTCTGCACCAGGTTCTGTCTTGTGAGCAGTATGAGGTGTGGTGGGGTCTTTGGAGTTTGTGGTGGAGGGTCTGGCACATGAGGGGCGGGACTGCTGGGCAGAGTCTGTGTCTCTGAGAACCTGAGCTCTAGCTTGGGTGGGGGGGCATCCTCACTCACAGAGGGAACTGATTTGACCAAAAACGGGGGTTTTAAGCACCGGCCCAAAGTTAGTCATAGCCTGGTGCTGGAAAACTGCACATCAGGTGGGTAATTTAGTAAGCGGCCTGCAGAACCAGGGGATGTGTTCCTGTCATGGACAAGGTGTCAAGGGGGGGCCAGGTTGCAGCCAAGGCCCAAATCCAATCTCAGAGAGGAAGGGACTGTGGCAAATAGGTAGTCCAAACTTCTGATATTGGAGGTGGGAAAAATAAAGCACAGAACTGTTAAGTGACTTTTCTGAGTTTGCACAGCTGGTAAGTGACTGAGTCAGGTCTAAGCAACCTGATTCTCCATTTGGTGTGTTTCCATCATTCATTTAATACATCTTTACTAGAACAAGACATGATCCTCATACTTAAAGAGTTTATAATCTAGTAGCAAAGACGAAATGTACTTACAAATATTGAACTAATTCTGTTCAGTTCAACAAAGATTTATTACTGTCTCCCATATGCTTCTCACCATGTTAAATACGGGGATATAGACATGACTAAGTCCCAAGTTGCTAACAATCTGGTGGAAGAGACAGTGTAAGCACCTAGTAAGCCATGAGTTCCTCTCTCTGTAGGACTCGATTGTTTCAGGTGATTTTCAGGTTGGCATGTTGTTCACTGAAGCTTAGCTCATTAAATTGAATTTGGTCTTAGATGGAAACACCCACCCCCTATATTGCCAGTGCTGCTGTGATCACTAGCAGCCTATGTTTTTGAGAGGCTGTGGTGATTTGCACTGACATTTTCTCCCATTTAATTCTCATGATAACCCTAACTGGTGTGTACTCTGGGTAGACTCGTTTAATAGATGGGGAAAGGGATATTTTGGGCACACAGCTAGACAGTGTCAAACAAGTCTGGTTTGAAACCCCGTGCTGCTGGAGAGATGAGGAAGTCCTTATGCTGCACAGCTGGCGACCTCTGGATTTGGGCGTGGTGCTTTGCTCCTGGTGCCAGAAGACCAGCCACAGGGTGATTCTTTTCCTCGGGGGAGGGGGTTCTTGTTGCTGTTCAGGAAGGGGCCATGGCATGCTGTACAGCTAGGGAGGACAAGTGCTATTGAAGGTGACCTTGAATTTGGGGTTCAGAAGACTGGAATATAGGGCATTTCAGGCAGAGGT